ATCACGTGGCATCACGCCTTTAGCCTGTGTGTCGACGGCCATTATTTCCGCAGAAGAAGCACCAGGCGACGAAAATGCCAAGGAGCTTGATATCGCTCTGGATCGAGGCCTAATGCGACAGGCGTAGGAAAAGAAGAGTAGATTTTTTTGGAATTTTCGCGAACGTTTTCTTACAGATAAATGCGCATTGCAATGCACACAGCGCATTTCTGATCATGCAACATATGTGATTGTTTGGTATCCATCGGAAGGAAAGTAGACTACCTAACTGTGTTTGTTGCACAACGCACGCACCGGTTGCTCATTGCAGCTTTAAGACGGCCAATATACGGCGAGACCTTTTGTAAGGCCGCCCTTTGTCATGATGTTTTCATCGAGTTGACCGTAGCCGTAGTTGGGGTCGTGCAGTAGCCAATGAACGTTGGAATGCGAGCTTTCCCTCACTGAGTGGTAAGTCCTGAAATTTATACGGGGGTGGAACGGAGACGTCGGTACAAACTCGAAGTTAAGTATTTGTAAATCAACCGTTCAGCAGGAAACGTTGTAGGTCGAACACATGCATTTTCGACTTTAGTAGCAATGGAAATTAGAAATTATAGCACGGCACCTCACCTTCCTTGGACGGAGAGCAGGTGGTCACCGAACATCCGCTTTAGTTCTCCGTCTTCGACATTCATCGACGCGAAGTTGGAACGGCAATTGTACGCCCTGGATTCTTTGCGGAATTTTTGTGCGGATGGATGAGTGGATGTGTAGAGGTCTTGGAGAATGGGTGGCAGGGGTGGCAGTCGTGGAAGAACGTATTTCCCATTTTTGCAGCATATCCCTTGAGAATCCTACGCGAATGGCATGGCTCCACAATGTAGGAAAGGGTCAGCGTATTCCACCGTTACAGAACGCGCCACCACTTAAGGACTTAGCAGTTAGGAACTTGAGCCTCAAAAAATCCAATACTTAAGAACATGATCATAAGAACATGTGCTCATTTTCGACGAGGGATAGGAACTAGAACCCGCCTTTGAGGTGTAACAATGAGCATACAGATAAGAACGGAGCCCCCAAACACGGGCGGCTGCAAGATAAAAACGCAGGAAAGGTGTGGGGGTGACCCCAACAGCAATTAGTTTCAGATTCATTCGGGGCGGGGGGACCCCGACAAAATATTTTTGCACGCGGGGAGGGGGGGTTGCGTGGTTTCACATGGCGTTTCCTCCCTCTGATGCTCGTGGTGTCGAGGTGCTGGGTGCATGTCACGCTGTGTGTACGCTGCGTGCATAGAGGTGCATGCAGGGGCACCACTCGAGACATTACAGGAGGAGCTCGATCAACTTTCAAAGTTGAAAGGAAGAGGTGTCATTCTTGATCGACATTACGAGGCGATCCAGCAACATGTCTTGCGGGCATCAGAGGCTCAGCGAAGGACAGGGAGGCTATCGAGTTGGCATGGGGGCTGGAACACGGGGGCGTCTTCAAGCATGAAGAGTGGACCAGAAGTCTTGCTGCCCGAGCTTAATGCGCGGGAAGAGCCAGCTCCCGCTGGAGAGGACTCTTCTCACGGACAACTTGCACGTACGTGCTTGCTGTTTCTTCCACGGATAAAAACAAGTTTCTGACAATGATTATTTTGCTGGAAATTCCAACGCCGCTCTCTGCAGACACGGCCCGCGGCCAGAACGACGAGCTGAGTCTTCTGGACGAAGACGACACCATGGACCCGGCCGATGAGGTCCACGGCATGGAGGTTCCGGACGGTTTTCGCCGTCAAGAGGTTACGCCCGCTGCTCTTAACAATTCGCTACTGCAGCGTGTAGTACTCGTTTCGCTGAGCATAGACTGGTTTGCCGGGCTGATTATTCGGCAATGTCAACAGCGTAACACTGTACCACCGTGTGCTTTTCGAGCTAGACCAAAGTACACGCAGCATGAAGCCGCCGTTGAAGAGGTACAGTGGAGATCCGGATGCGGTTGTAGGGTCGTGGGTTTTGCTGGAGGGGAACACCGTAGACGAGGGGGGAGATCCTACCATATGGCAGAGTAGGAGAAAAATCTCCGGCCATCAGCAGTGACAGTGCAACCACGACGGGAGGAGTTAGTAGAGCGGGGAGGACACGCACGCCCAACGTGATTCATGTAGTCCACTAAGCGGATCAATGTTGCCCATGATGCCTCTTTTTCCGGCGATGCCACGTTTATCTACCGTTTTACAGTGATCGCGCCTCAGCTCGCTGGATCCAGAGGTCCTCCTGCTGGTTCTGGTGTTAAACACGCTACACAAGTGTCGCGTTGAAATCCATCCAGACAACTCTGTGTTTTCCGCATGGGGTAATCGGCTAAGAAATAAGAACAAGAACCCAATTTATCGTAGGTGGATGCCTGCCCCGAGTAAGAACTCGGAAACTAATAAGAACAGTGCTCGGTTTGAGGCTACCAATAAGCGTCGAGCCTCACGCAAAATAAGCGGTGCGTTCTGTATTCCCATTTCGTCGCGCGCATGAAGGAGTGCTTCACGTCGCTGGGTGATGACAGTGTTCAGACCCGATATATCCCCTTGCGTACGCATGATGTTGTGGATCGTCGATTCAGTTACGGGACGACGTTGCGACCTCAAAATGTTGTCCAGACAATACCTCTTCGTAGGGCCGTTTTATACATTCCAAATTATTGATCCGAAATTTCTGGAAATTTGGAAATTTGGGTCCATATTTATATCGTCTGCCCAAAGTCGGAAATTGTTAATTCACTTGAGTTTGTATGGATTAATAAAATTCTACACAGTTTTTCTACACAGTCCCGTTAGGTTCGTGCGGTGCATTGATGCGCGTTTCGTAGAACCTGCTGCGAGTGGTAAAGTAAACGCCCCAGGTTTCCAAGTTTGTTTGTATGACCCAACGAATCCATCTCCTCTCTACGTAGTAACTAAGGAAACAGTCCCGTTAAGTTCGTACGGTGCATTGATGTGCGGTTCGTAGAACCTGCGTAGGACCTGCAGTGTGTGGTAAAGCGCACGGACGGTACAATGCACACACGCGCCCCCAGAAGTTCAGAAATATACACTCGCGGCGTAGAGTTCCAACTTTCTTTTTATGTTGTTAATACGGCCCAACGAATCCATGTCTACCTAATAAAAGATTGAAAAGATTGAAAGATAGACAACCAATGAATTTTCGAACGATTAAGTGCCGGCCGGCATAAATTTTTATAACTGAACTTGTGACGGGTTAATCTTCAAGTGTGGTCCTTTGGTCCGCGGGACTGCACGCACCCGCCGCGCAGAAAAGATCGAAAGATACAGTTAATCTTCAAGTGTGGTCCTTTGGTGCATGGGACTGCACGCCCACGCCCCGCAGAAAAGAGTGAAAGATGCATTATATGAATTTTAGAGCGACGGGTTAATCGTCAAGTAAGTGTGGTCCTTTCGTGCACGGGACTGCACGCACACGCCCCGCAGAAAAGCCCCGCAGAAAAGATTGAAAGATAAATTATATGAACTTTAGAACGAATAATTTCCGGGCGGCATAACTTCTGCATTTCTAATGCTTAACTGCTGTGGTAACTGCTGTGGCCCGCCGTGCCCGGGACAATACACACGCACACACACGTCCCGGAGTTTTATGATTTTGGGACGAATAATTTCCGACCGGCAGAACTTGTGAAGTTGGAAGGAATTATTTGCGCCCGGCAGCATTTTCCGTTATCCGTCGAATGACCTCTGGACTCTTGACGTCGTCCTAGTGAAGGGGTACTGCGACAGTCCCGTTCACAGTCTCGTTTCCGACCCCAAAAGTTACGCTGACACGCTGACACGCCGCATGTGATGGCGAGAGGGCATGCCCCTTCAACCACACCCCGCACTCCACAGACAACGATCCCACACGCGCGATACCATGGTAGGGCCCAACATAGATAGGGTTGGTGGTCACCAAGGGCAAGCCCGGGCTGGATTCAGCAGACAGGGCGGTTAATGGCACTGCTGTAGGTCCAGCCGCATGCAGTTTTCCCTGCTCGGCGCCAGGCAACACCTCGGGCCAAGGCGAAGCGCGAAGCAACACGATACCTAGAGCATGTCCTACTTGCTGGATAGCGCCAGGCAGGTTGTTGAGAGGAGAAGCCATCATGTGTCGGGCCTCGAGGTTACAGCTGCAGGTGTGTGAGAAGCGTGTTTTCTGTCTACGCCGCCTGGTGTGTGTGTGTGTGTCTCGTTCTCGTCCCCTCTCTGTTGTCTCACCGCACTCGCTCGCACCCCCGCCACCCCAATTCTTTGTCTCGCACTGCAAGTCGAAGCATGTGTCGGGTGGTATTCATGGTACAAGCTGCTGCACCCACATGTGTCCTCTTGACTCTGTAGCATACATACACATCAGAACATGCTGGTGCCACGGACGTGCTGTCTGTTGTACCTACTTTGTGAGTCCACTGCTGCAGTGTGTACATGTTGCACGTGTGTGTGTCTAAATCCCCCCCCGGGGGGGGATTAGTGTCTAAATACCCCCCCGTTTGTATCTCCGCCCACAAGGCGCCAATCGAGCCAGGACATGCACGGCTGTGTTGCTGTGATGTAGGGCTATCGCGAGACCCACCGAACAGCCGAAACGGTGCAGGTTTGGGGCAGCCATGGCTGATGGGCAAAATATATCTGTTGCCCCAACCTGCCCCGTCTAAATACCCCCCCGTCTGTATCTCCGCCCACAAGGCAACAATCGAGCCAGGACATGCACGGCTGTGTTGCTGTGATGTAGGGCTATCGCGAGACCCACCGAACAGCCGAAACGGTGCAGGTTTGGTGCAGCCATGGCTGATGGGCAAAATATATCTGTTGCCCCCAACCCTCCCCGGGGGGGGGGGAATACAGTAATCTAGCGCCCAAATCCCCCCCCATCTGTATCTCCCCCCACAAGGCCGC